GAAACTTACTTACCTTCTTCAGCCGGGAGCTCTGCCCAAGGAGAAAAAAAGAAAAGGATATAGTCATTTGAGGTTCAGTGTGAAGCCTCCCACACCCAGGATTCTGCAGCTAAGGAGACTCTAGACCAAAAGGGCAGCTGAGGTTCCCCAAGGTCATCTCAAGACTCTGGGCATCAAGCACCCATCCTGCTTTCTGAGTATGCTCCTTTCCCCCTGTAATCACTGAACCATGGCCCCACACATCCCTGGGTTACCCCAGATGGGAAGGTGCCAGTGTGTGCCCCGAAAGGGGGTATGCAGGAGGGAATTGACAGTCCCAACAAGGAACACTTACCATTGGGGCCATATTTCTCCAGGTGCCGCTTAACTTGGTCTGGGGTGAGGCCTGTGGTCTCACTCACCCCAAAATGGGCCAAACATTCCTCCGTGGTCTTGGAGTGTGCAGCCTCCATTGTGCTCCCTTCCTGGGGGCCAGGGGGCGGTGTGTTCCTTCTGGGGGGGTCTCACGTGTGGGGGGCCTTCTTCAGTGTGTCCACCTGCCTGTCTGCCTGGGTGTCTCGCGTTTTCTCTTTTGCCCCCCCCAGATTTCTCTTCCCTCCACGAAGCTCTGACCCCCGTCCCACTTGCAGCAGCCGGCCACCCCCCCAGCCCCCAGCTGGTCCTTATGAGGGAGTGGGGGGGGCCAGGTTCCCCCTCCCCCAGACCAGGGATTGGCTGGCTGAGACTCCAGCAGGAGGGGTTAGAAGAGAGAGAGATTTCTGCTGACAGAGGGGGAACAGTGGGGCTGCAGCCTGAGATGTCACTCATGAGGAAAGCTAAGGTGGCCCCAACCCCAGGGAAGGGGGATGGGGATAGACTTCATTTTCTGTCTTCTGCTTATTGACCCCTCCCCCAGTGGCCTCAACTTCTTCAGCTGCACTGAATGTCTCATCTTCGCCACATCCAATTCTTTGTCTTTCTACTCTCGGGCTTCCACCTTTCACTCTCCTCATTTGCTCCCTACTGTTCTTGTCCACTCTGAGCCTGTTTCCACAGCCACAGGCCTCTTCCTCAATCTGTTGAAAGAGCAACAGAAATACCACCACGCTTTCAGGGGATTGAAGATGGGACAGTATCTTTTGGGGGTCAGAGGAAGTGGCTCTAGAGGGACACGGGGAAGTAGGAAGGGAGAGGGTCAAGTAGACAGGGCAGAAGATGGTAACCCTACCCTAGGGAGGGGTTACCGCGGCCATCAACAAGGGATTTAGTGTCCAGGCCCTGGTGAGCAAAGCCAGGACTGCCTGCCTCTCCCCCAAACATTCCCCCTCCCATCGCTTTAACTCAGCCTCTGGGAACATAGCTTTCAGGGCCCCCCCATCTCTAACAGGGAATCCCCACCCCCCAGGAAAACGGGATACCCAGGCAGCTGGGGTAACCCAAGAGGCTGTAGAATGTGCTGATGGCACAGGGGGAGGGATACATGTTCCAGGATGGGAGTGGGGGTCACCCCAAGTCATCCCATGCTGCTGTCTTGACCTAAGGGGTTTGCAGGGAATCTTTGCTCCACTCTGGCCCCGATGATACTGGCTGTACAGCAAGGCAAGCAGCACTGGGTAGGGAAGCCTGGGAAGCTGGAGAAAACAGATGCCACAGGATGGGGAGAGGGTCAGATTTATGAGGACAGGTATAGGGGACATAAGGACAGACGGAGCTGCAGGAGGGAGAGGTACACAGGGCTGCAGGGTCAGGCAGCAATGTGGGAAAGGGGCAGCAGAGAGCTGGTTTGTGGCAACTACAAGTTGTTACTCAGTGGCTGGTTATGGTGTCAGCTTCCTCTGAGAAGCAGCTGCTCTGAGCTGTGCCCCCCTCCCTGCAGCACTGGGGCATCTTTTGATTACCAGGATGGCAGCTTCTTGGGGAGCAAAATGGAGAGTACCATAGGGTGGGGTCAGCGATGAGGAGTATGGTACAAATGGAGTGGCGTTCAGGTCGCCTGTTCACAGGGTCGTTCTGAGTCGTACTGGACTCAACACCACCTAACAACAACAATGGGGTGAGGGCAAGGGCAGGGGCAGGAAGGAGGACAGAGAGAGGACAAAGGTTCACTGAGGGCAAGGGGCCACGTGACCCTGGGCTCCAGTCCTTCCTCCATCTAGGCCTCAATTTCCTGGAATCAACAGTGGGGAATATAGGCCATTCAAAAAGATCTAAAGGCTGCTTCTAGTTCTGAGCTGAGAACACCTTGAGGAGAGGCAAAGGAAAGAAAGCCCCCCGGTTCTGAGAGGTGGGGGTGGTCAGCAGAGGTGGCTGGACTTTAAGGATTTAGCCCCCAGACCCATCCCTTCTTCTGCCTGTACTTGGGGGAGAGGCAGCCTTCTGGGTGAGTCGAGGACACATTAGTGTGCCCCACCTCCTTTTCACAGCTTCAACAAGCCCCTCCCCTGAATCGGAGTCCTTCTGTGACCTGGGGGACAGGGTGAGAGGACTGAAACAATGAGGGGTGAGTTTTGGGGTCACATCAACAGACACTGCCAGCTGACCCCAGACTCCTCCATCAAGCCTAGCACCTGCTTTTTTGAGCCTTTGACATTAGCTGGCTTCTCCCCATCAGCACCTGGACGTGTGACAGGGGCCACTGTCTTAAAGGAGCAGGAATGCCCAAACATGGAGAAGGGGGATAAGACAGGAGATCGGCAGCTTCAAGGAGTCCAGAGCAGGAGCCCAAGGGAAGGAGACAAGCTTTGACGTATTCCTGCCAAGAGGGCCCTTTAAAGCTATTCATTTCTACCTCCCTCAACTTCCCTCCCAGAGGGGAAACTGGAGCCAGGGAGGGAAAGCCATCAGCCAAGTGCTGCAGAAGGATCTTCATCAGGGAGGCTGGGCGTGTGAACTGGGGCAGAGGAAGGCTGAGTGATTGGGGGGGGTGGTCTCCAAGCCTGACAAAACCTGGAGTTGGGAGGTGTTCTTCCTTTCTCATCTGGGGGTTGCAGCTGAATCTGGGATGATGGGAGAAACCCTAGTTCTAAAGAACATGAAGACAACATAGACTCAGGGACAATTTCTGATCATTTTGTGCCCGGTTTAGTCATCTGTAAAGAAAGGCTTAAAGGCAAACGGTCTCTTCGGCCACTCCAGACATGGAAGCTGGGTGTCGTGGGAAGGAGAGTCCCTGAAGGCTGGCAGGGTCGCGGGGAGGGGCTGGGAGCACCAGTTGCTTCTAGATTAGGGAAGGATCAAGTCCTGCTTACCCTGGGCGCCACAGCCTTCACTTACCATCCTGCTTTGAGACACAGCACCCAGATACCCACACTATATCTCCTTTTCAAGGCCAAGTCTATCTCATCTCTCTTAAAGCCAATGTTTGGGGAGCCCCAGTGATTAGTTAAAACCAAGAGCCAGCAGCCTTCCCTCATTATCCCTCAGCTTGGGTGGCCGGTGAGCCCAGCTGTCTCCTGTCCATCTCCTGACAGGACGCAAGGCCCAGAATAGCAAGGTCATGAGCATGGGTAGGGCCTCTTAGAGGTGGGGGCATAGACTGAGGGGCATGAAGGAGTGTAGGATCTTCCGCCTGAGGGCAAGTGAGGGACAGAAGGGTGAGAACTGCATGGAGGTGGAGAGGGCCTTAAGCAAGAGAGGTGGGAGTGTGCAGTCTCTAGCCCCTACCACCTCCGAGGTGGGAGCCTGGAGGCTCCCTGTGGGGGGCACACAGCCGAGCTCAGGTGTAATGGAGGACAGAGAGAGGGAGGTGTGAGAACGAGTTTCTGCAAACTCCCACAGGTCAGGTAGGCACAGCGGGAGGTGGTGATGGAGCGGGCACACAGGAATAGCCATGGGGTTGGATTTTCTTCTTTTCAAGAGATGACAGTCATTCAAGTTTATGTGAAATTCAAATGGAAAACATCCTGGCTAAACAAACCTTGCAGGTAACTAACTTGTCTAGTGCAGATGAAAACATAGTCCCACAGATGAGAATATGGAGGCACAGGGCGGCTACGTTGCACCCAAGTTCACAGAGCCCATGACAGGCACAATCTGAACTAGAGGCCACTGCTGTCACCCAGCCTCCCACTTCCCAACCTCGTTCCGAGGAGGGCAGACAACCACCAGACTCTGGGGGCTGCCTCCTTCACCAATACAATCCCCACATTCACGTCTCTCTTCTCTGTAGGGCAGGATGTCTCAAGCCAAGAATTCAGAGTGGAGAGGGGCACTGGCAGCCAGGGAGCCCAGGGAGCACTATTTAGCCCTGGACTTACAACCCATCAGCAGAGAGCCCAGCTCAGAGGAGCTGCAGATCCCAAAAGCTCGGGGTCGCAGAGTGGCAGGGCTTCGGAGCTCTGGAGCTCACAGCACAGGAGAAACTCCCACCTACCCTCCGGTCCCAGGTCCCCCTACAAACACTGGTCACAGCCATCAGGATAGAACTGAGATAAACCCTTTATTTATTTATGCATCTCCATTTTGTTTAAAACAACAACAATGTCCTCATTCGAACCGAGAGCCTTCCCCTCGCCCTCTCTTGGGCTGCTGTTGTTTTGTTCTGTCCACTTGGCTCTGACTGCTGGCGATGCCACGTGCACAGAGTAGAACTGCTCCACAAGGTTTTGAGGGATGTGACTTTTTTGGAAGTAAGATCGCCAGGCGTTACTTCCGAGGTGCCACTGGGTGGATTCAAATTGCCAATCTTTTGGCTAGAAGTGGAGCACTTAACTGTTTGCACCACCAGGCAGTGGGGAAATGGCCCCCAGGGTGGGGTAAGCGCCCCTCAGGGAGGTAATGAAGCCCAAGTCCCCTGCCCAGGGGAAGGGGCACTGTAGTGTATGAATAGGGAGTTCACACACTAGTGTATGAACAAGAGGCTCGGAGCCTCTTCTTGTACCAACATATATGCCCTTGGCTGACAAGGGTCAGGAAGCATGTGGGGAGGGAAGGATTCCTATCTCTTCTGTGTCCCTATCCAGCCCCAAACACAAAAACGGGGCTGGGAAGCCAGCAGAGTGGAGGGGAGTAGGGTAGGGAGTCTCACACAAAGGAATACTGGTTATTAATGGCTCTGAGATGGCCCCCTTCTCCGTCGCCCCCTAGTGGTAACTGCTGGAGCTGCACCGCCAGGGTCATCCCCGTGTCCCCACCAAATCCAGTGCTTTCCCGGGCCTCCGCGCCTGGTCCTACGGCCTCTTCCAATTCAACCACGGGGACCAGCTCAACCACGGGGACCAGCTCTTCCTGGACCCCTCCACTGCCTGCTTTCTCTTCCTCTTGCCTCTCTTTGGCTGCTGTGGCTGTTGCTGCCGCCCTTTCTGGCGCCCCCGACGCCTCTTCTGCCCCAGAATGTGGGGGATCTGTCCATGAAGGGGGTTCAGAGGACTGGGGTGGGTCACGGGAGGTGTTCGATTCTGGACAGAAATGGTGAGAAGACAGACTGATTGTGGAGGGAGGAAGGCTCTTGGAGTGGCCTCCCCTTCACTCATTCCCCCCCAGAGCCACGTACTATCTCCCCAGCATCCCATCTGCTGAGCAGCCCCCCGTCCATGGATGATGGATCATGGGTGGTGGTGAGAGGAGGACCACACTTACACACAGTCACTCGCTCCGAAGGGCATGAGGGTGGAGGAGGCATCGGGGTGGCATCGATCTCCCTCGCACACCCCTGCATGGCTCCCGGCCTGCTCCCGGCCTGGCGGTGGGGAGGGCAACGGGGGGGCAGATGGGACGTTGGGGTGGGGAAGAGGGAGAGAGCAGACAGGGACATCAGACATCAAGGGATGAGGGTAGAGGGTCAGACTGAGCAATCCCCGAGAAGGGCAGGCCCGAGGCAAGGTTGTGACAAACGGCAGAGACGAGGCTGGGAGGATGGGTCAGGACACAGACGATGAGCGAGGGTCCGATGGAATGGGAATGCACCCGCCCAGCTGTCCACTCCCTGCCTGGCTCCGCAAGAAGCCCTCTGCCTTCCGACGTCCTAGCAGGAACCTCCTCTACCCTGCACTCCCCTAGCAAAGCCTCCGCTCCTCATAAGACCCCCAACCCCGTCTTTCTGGCACACACACCTCACTTCTTGGGTGCACGGGCACCTCCTCCCCTGCAGACCTGCTCTGCTCACCCTGCTGCCGCTGGGAGGCTACGACATAGCTGACAAGGACAACGTCACTGGAGCCTCCAGACTCCAGAGGGATGGGGTGCACCTGGAAATGCTCGAGCATATCGAAAATGGACTGGAACCACAGGTGCTGGACCCGGCACTGACCCTCCTCATTCAGTGACAGACGCAGGTGCTGAGGGAGGATGAGCAAGGGGAAGCAGGAGTTGAAGTTGAGCCGTTACCATCTCCTCTGCCACTCCCCACCCCAGAGCTCTCTGCGGGGAGCACAGCCTCTGCCCCAGTCACTCACCTTGGCCTTGCCCTGGAAGTTGAAAGTGAGGACATATTCACCTCGTCTCGTCTCGCTCTGACGTACCAGGAACACGCCATGGGAGCCAGTACCACCTGCCAGCACTAACTGGGCAGCCTTGAGTCGAGAGAGCATCCCATGGAACCAAGGGTATCCTGAGAGGGGCTGGTCCCCCTCACCGCCCTCTGACTCTCCCTGGAACAGGAATGACCCTTCAGGAAGGAGAGAAGGAGGGAAACCAGGGTGTCAGGAAAGCCTTCCCCACTGAGGGAGAATGAAAACCTTGCTACTTACTCAAGGTGCCTTCTTTCAACTGTCATTTCCCTCCCCCAGGTCTGACCCTTCAGGACTCCCAGACCAAGGAGGAAATCAGGCAACCAGGCCTGAAAGCTGATACACATTCCCACCACTAGTACCTGTGGCTGTTTCCGGAGTGTCCAGGGGAGGGTAAGGGGCCGCGAGGGGATGAACTGTCCCTGGTGGGGGTCCCTCTTCAATGGGGATTCGGGGGGGCAACTCTGGAGGGAGCAGTTCCATTGAGTCAAAATGGGAGGCAGCAATGGAGGTGGAACTGGGGGAGATAGATGTCGAGGGTCGGTCTGAGAGGCCCCCATATGCCCCTAGAGGAAAAAAGAAAGGAGGGCATAGGTGAGAATGTAGCTGGCAGGACTGGTCCACCTGGGCTGGGTTCCTGCCCTAGCCAGCCTTCCCAGTGTGCACTGAGAGTGAGCTGGCCAAGATGTCAATGGAATCTCACTGACGCCCTGTGAACTGCTAGGGAAGGCTGGGATTACAAGGAGGTCCTAGAATTCAGATACGCTTGCATATCTCCCAAACCAGAGGCTGACATTACCACCACTGCTATAAAGATGATTCCCTAATATTTTGACATTTAAAAATGGTTCTACTTTTGACTCAGGAAGCTCTGGTGGCCTACTAGATAAGGAACTGCACTGACAACTCGAAGGCAGGCAGTCTGAATCCACCAGCTGCTCTGAGGGCAATATCTTCCCATGAGATTCACAGCTTTGGAAAACCCACCAGAGGGTCAGCTACAAGCCAGTTCCAACTCAACAGCAATGAGTGTGAGAATTTGGACTTACAGGACAAAAATCATTGATTCAAAAAAGAATCTAAGACTCTCCTCCCATTACACCCACCTCCTACAGCTCATTTTATCTTTATTCAGTCTGTGTATCCTCTACATTAATTATCCTACCCCATTTTCCAAAATTCCTGGGTTCCCTCTACCTCAGGGCTCTGCTCCATGCCACGTCTTTCCTCTAATCCCCTCTTCTCAGTATTGTTGGGCCCCTCTCCTCCCATCCTCCTCCTCTGGAGCACCTGAGATTCTCCTCAGTCAGGGACACCAGCCCAGACCCTCCCCTCTGCAGACTGCTTTGGACAGGGGAGGACTGTGCACGGGTGGACAGGCACCTCTAGCTACCCCCAGCCTGCCCAAGGCCAGGCAGGGCTGAGGCCTCCTCAACATGTGCTCAGAGCAGGCTCCAGCCTTTGTGAATGTTCCATACAGTCAACGCTTAGAAAAAGGCTTCCTATCTCAGTCACAAAAGGACAAGTGCTGCATAACACCGCTGCTATAAAACAGGACTGTAGGGGGGATGGAGGAGAATAGGAAAAGAGTGAATGGATAATGAACAGTGCTCTGGAAAGAAGAGGGGAAGAACTGTCTGAGAGGAATGTATGAACTGACACTGTATGTCTGACAACAACCTAGAACAAGAGGTGCATTGCAAAATGGACAGGGAGGGGAAGGGAGGCAAATATGCCAACCAGGGATGGATGAAAAACAACCTCTCTGTAAACCTTCATTAAACTCATAATTAAACAGAAACTTCACTTAAAAAAAAAAAGGTCAGGGGAGCTCTGGTAGCCTAGTGGCAAGGAGCTGCAACTACAATCCCAGAGGTGCACGGTTCGAATCCACCAGATGCTCTGCCGGGGAAGGAGGGACAATCTCCTCCTGTACCAGTCAGATCTGATTAGACGGTACACACACAAAAATAATAAAATAAAAATTTAAAAAATTTAAAAAAAAAAGGCCTCAGGCAGCCTGAGAACAGAGGGTCAAGAGAGAGGAGGTTGATGCGATAGTCCATCGTCTCTGACACTCAGGAGACCTCAGAAGTGTTCTTATGGCCCGTGTGTCACTATCTATAGGATCGAGAGGGTTGGAACAGACGACTGTAAAGATCCACTCTAGTGCCAAGATACTAGAATTCATTTGTTCAGTGAACACAGCCTGTGTGCCAGGCACTGTGAAGCTGAAGCCCTGAACAGAAGGCAGGAGGGGCCACAGAAACCGAGTCAGGAAAGGCGAGTGGTGCTGGCTGAGAAGGCCTATTCCTTGGGTGTCTACATGTGAAGAGTGACTACATAAGTAGCTAAAGGATAGAGAGGATCAAAAGAAAATTGAGCACCATCAACATAAGCACAGAGATACAGAGCAAGGACAAGACAGAGATGTTTCCAGTATGTTCTAGAAACACAGAGAACTCATCTCCAGCCAGAGCAGGCTGCAGAGGCACTTTCACAGAAACGATTTAAGGCTGGGCATAGAAGGTTGGGTAGGAGTTCGCTGGGGGCCCAAAGGGTGGTAATGACAACAGTTCTAAAGCGAGGCTTCAGTATGCTTGTCACGTCCGGTGAGCAAGACCAGCATTCTGGGCTCGGATGGGACAGCAATGGCGTGTGCAGCAGGGTCTAGAGAAAGGGTCCAGGCCTGACGGCAGGGGACCTTTGGGAGCAGGTTGTGTGTCTCACAGCTCTCTGAGGCTCCACCCTTACCCTGTGACAGGCGGTCATTGCTCTCGCTGGGGCCGAGCGGCAGATCCTGGCTGGGTAAGCTTTCTGAGTGATTCAGGCAGGGTAGCTCCAAGCTGTCCGTATTTTCCCTTGTTGGGAATGAGCCTCCAGGAACCAGAGGGAGGGTCATGGGACGGGGGCTTGTAGCAGGGCAGGGTCTGCAGAGATGGAGAAAATGGTACCAGGAGGAAAAGTCATCAGGTGAGGGCTCAAGCTGTGGCCCAACCCACTCCCGGGTCCCCATCGTGACCCAAGTTAGGCCTCTCACCCAGGGCTCAGGCATTCCTGGATGTCAGACACCCAGGCCTTCATGTGGAGAGCGTCAGGTGCCTCCAGGATATACTCAACAGGGCCTTCCACCTGTGGACAAGAGGAGGCCTCAGTTGGGACAGGGTGCCGGGGGAGGACCACAGCCCACTTCTAGGCCCCAACTCCTCTTTAATGAGAACAAAAGCAGCGTTACTTCTTCCTTCCTCCAAAAAAGGAGCTCCAGAGACCTGCCTCTCAAAGAACTTAACCCAGACGGACCTCCTAGCACCAATGCTCTCCTAAACCATGCACAAGTGCTCCAGGAAGTAGGGACTCAGTGTCTACCTTAACCACAAACGCGTTCTCCCGGTCAGGCAGCTCCAGGGCTGTGGTGGTCCGCACATCTGTGATGGTAGAGCAGGGAATGCTGAGTCGGGGCCGGGATGCCTGGGTCAGGGGAACAAGATCCAGATATGCACGTGTAGAGACCCTCCCTCCCTCCCTGCAGCCCCGAGATGCCCCGCTTCTTCTAGCCCTATGGGAGTTAATGAAAAAGCAATGTTTTCTCAGTTCTCTCTCGAGTTACAAAACTGGGACCAGGAGCCACCAGACAGCAAAAGTCCAGCTAAGCTGAGTGGACAGGTTATCTGCAGGCTCTAGTCACCACCCAGCTGCTATGTCACTTGCTCTGTCGCCCACCCCTCTCCTGGTCTCACCTTGGGTGGTACAAAGAACTCCAGGCGACTTCCTCCTCCTGCTTCTCCTTCGCTTCGCAGCAGCAAGCGACACTTCTGCCACTGAGGCTGCCCCCCTCCCCCTGAAGTCGGCCCGGCTGCCCCTCCTCCCCGGCCCACTCCAGTTGGGTCAGGGGCTGCGTCCTCAGCCCCCATGAAATTCAGCAGCTCTTCCCTCTGTACCATCCCTACACCATCTTTCAAGGTGCCCCCGCCCCGACTCAGTCTCAGCCTCTCAAAACGGTGAGTCCATCTTTCCCCAGGGGACGTTCCATCACCAGCCAGTCCCCTCCCAATGGTCCCAGCCCCACCAGAGGAGTTGGAGTTGCTGTTGCCCCCTAAGACTGAGGGGCCAGATGAGGTCTCCAGGGGTCCAGCTGAGGAAGGAGGGTCCACAGTCCCCCGCCACTGCAGGATGCCACGGACTGAGCCCCGGACCGAACGGCCCACAGAGCGGAGGGAGAAGCGTTTCTTTAGCTTCGGCTTGGAAGAGGTTGTAGAAGAGGAGGAGATTGAAGAAGGGATGGGGCAGGCCAGGTCTTCAGATGACCGAGAAGGGCCCAGCACTGCCAGGGGTCCGGCCACCCTGCAGCTCTCAAGGGACAGGTCATTCGGTGGGATGTCCACTCCAGGACTCAGGGGAGCCAGGATCGGTGGTGAGAGGGAGGCAGAGGCCCGGGCCACCTCAGCTTCAAAGTGCTGCAGGAAGAGCTCAGCAAAACGGCGGGAGAAGGCAGCCTCTGCCCCAGGCCCGGCATACTGTGGGTGGGAGGCCAGGTAGAGGCGGAAACGGCGGGCAAAATCCAGAGCAGCTGCCCGGGCATGGGACTCGCAGAACTCTCGCCAGCTAGGAGGAGGTGGAGGTGGCCCAGGGGGAGGGGAGGGGGAGGCCCCGTCCTCCGGGGTGGGGGTACCATTCATGATGGCCCCCAGGAGGTTGAGAGGGTGAGCCTGTGGGGAGGGAGAGCAAAGAAGGAAGTGGCTGGAAGACACGGGGTGAGCGGCAGCAGCTGCAGAAGAGACAGGTAGAAAGAGTCACTGCTGGGCTGGGAACGGCCTGGCCCCCACCCCAAGCCAGAGTCCCCACTGTGCGTTAGGGCCCTCACAGAACAAATGTTACTGTTGCTATGTGTCATCAGGGTCAACTGCGACCCTAAGTACAGCAGCCCGAAAGCCTGCCCTGTCCTGAGCCAGTCTCACAGATTCCGACACACCCCATAAGCCCCAGTTACTGGAAAGGGAGGAAAACAAATGTGTCTTTCACTTTCCACAATCCTCAAGCCCTACAAGGGCTTGGTGGTAAGGAACCGTGCTGCCAATACTAAGGTATGTAGTTTGAATCCAACACCGGCTCTGTGGGAGAGAGTTGGGCAATCTCCTCTCAAGTGATTTACTCTCTGAAACCCCACTGGAGGTCAGCCCTTGAAAACCCCCGACTCGTACACAACAGGTCTGCAAGTAAACCAGTTTCCCAATGTCTAGGCTGCACCTAGCATTCCTGATCCGCTTTCCCTGGCTTTGGTACCAGGATCAATGGAAGGCTTGAAGAGCCTTTCTCCAAACTGACTCCCTCTCCAAAGAAGATCCTTCGATGTCCTTATACACTTCCTGCTACCATTCTCTGTAAGGTTTTAATACGCCCTGCAATGTGTGAAAAAGGAGCCCTTGGTGGTGCTGTGGTTATGCAAGTCGGCTGCTGACCAAACGGCTCATGTATGAATTCACCAGCTGCTCCTGGGGAGGTAAGCTGTGGTGATCTGTCCAGACAGATTCCAGCCAAGGAACCCTATGGAGCAGCGCTCCCGTGCCGCAGGTCGGCTGTGCGTCAGTGCGCACCTGACAGCACCCAGCAACATCATGAAGCAGAAACAGGAGGTCGGAAAAGTTTCCGAATCCCAAGCTGTTCTTCCCATGGCACAGTCCTTGTTCTCCAGGACTGAATGAACCAGCCTTCCCTGTAGCCCCTGACTGCCCCAGCTGGCCAAAGGGAGCTGCACTTACACAGCCTCCAGACTCTGCCCCTAGACAGTCCACCTTCAAGCTCTGAGGAAGGGGAGGATGGGCGAACAGAAGACTGAAAGCTGACCCAGGGCCCAGAGTCCAAGCACTGCGTAAGGGCTTGGACGGCCACAGCCTACTTTGCTGCCTCTTCAGTGTGGAGCCCAGGGCAGCAGAGAGGCTATAGGGTGGGCAGGGAAAAGTCTATCAACAGAGAATACGAGGGTCTCAGACAGTTCCATCTCCCCTGTTTGTTACTGGGGAGTGTGCCCTGAAGGCTGGGAGCCTGATGGTTAAGCCCAAAGATTCCGGAGTCAGACTTGGAACCAAAACACAATCTTGGACAAATTACATGTCTTTCCTGAGCTTGAGTTTTCTTATCTACACAACAGGGAAAAGATGATCTCTATCTCCTAGAACTGGGGACAATATTAAATGGACGATATCACTGCTTGATGTAAACAAGGACCCGCAGGGTCAATTCTCTAAAGGGAGTATCTGAGAAAGGAAAAAAGTTGACCAAGATCTAATATGCAGAAGTGGACTTGACAGCCGCAGCCCCTGCTAGCAGCGCTCCTCCCTCCTACGTCCTGGGGGCGGCGGCTTCGGGGCTAGGTGAGGGCAGCTCGGGAAGCCTCCCCAAACCCACGGAGCCCTCACACTCGGACACAGGGCCCCACGACCCAGATGCAAGTCAGCACCTGTCCTCTTCCTCCCGGGCTCGGCAGGCCCGAGCCCCAGGGACGACTCCAAAGCAGGCCGGAGGCCGCGGGATGCAGGAGTCAGTCGGGCAGCACTGGGGAACCGGGCCAAGGGGTGCAGCCACGGCAGAGCCCGGGCCCCGGCGAGGGGTCGCCTCGGCTCACACAGGCCCCCCCACCCCGACCCTCGGCACCAAGGGCCGACGTCGCTGACCCTGCGGCGCCGGCGACTCGGTTTCTCTCCGGCCGACACAGAGCCGGTCGGTGCACCTGCCTCGCGACTCCGTCCTGCTATTTCCCGACGAGCAGGTGGCGGAGCGCTCAGCCCGTTTCCTGGCTCGGACCCTCCAGGGTTGGTCAGTCCGCTCCGAGGCGACACTACTGCCTGGGCACCCCCTTGCCCGCCAGTGACCCCGGACTGCGGCCTCCAGGGCCCAGCATGGGCCGCGGCACCCCCTTCAGGGCCGCGGGCACCTCCTGCCCTGCCCCCCACCCCCTGGGTCTCCCACCCCCCACATCTCCCACCCAGGGCTCCTCGCAGGGGCCGGAGCCGGAGAGGGGCGAGGAGGAAACCGGGGCTTGAGGAGGGGGGTTCCGGTTCCGGTCCCACCTGCATCTCGGTCCCCGCGGTTAGCGCTGGCGGCGGCGGCGGCGGCTCCCGCTCCCTCCCCCAAGCCCTCTCCACGACCCCAGTTCTGCGCAGGCGCTGGGACCCCTTTTCCCGTCACCAAAGGAAGAGACCATAGAGAAGAAAGCCGAGAGGGAAGGGCACCTCCATACTCACTTCCGCCATCCTCCTCCTCCTCGGCACACACTCTGCGGGAGACACGGGCTGACGGCTGTGGGTGACTCGCAGGGGGACCTCAGGGACTGGTCCGCTTGCACATAGAAGAGGCCACAGAAGCCGCCGGGAGACGGCTTTGGGCCTCGCCAGCCTGTCCTCCCGGAGGAGATTCGGGGCAAGAAAGAAAAATTAACCATAGAGAAATTAAGCCACTCTTAGGGCTAGCATCCGAGACCCGGTGGAAGGCTAACTAACATAGACCCCGGGGACCGGGGACCAGGGAGATACTGGGACTTTCTGGGGGGCAGGCTGCAGCCTAGAGCGCCCAGCACGGCTACTGCGAGGGATACGGACACTGCCCCCAGGGAGCTGGGTGTGGGAGGACGCAGGTGACCTTGGGGAGGCCATGCAAGGAGGCGGAGCTTGTACTTCCGACCTTGGCTTCTCCCAGAAAAGAGGCAGGTGGTCGACGGGAAATAAAAGTGGGACACCACCCCCCAATATAAATAAGGTCAGTTTTGGACTAGCTTTTAAACTGTCAAGTGGCCGATGGACGTAGAAGCCTGGAGCTCTGGGAAGGCATCAAGTCTTTGCAAATAGAGAAACCAAGAGCCTTAAGGTACAGAGGACAACTGGAATCTTTAACTTGACGTCTGTCAGCCTAGCCTCTCAATGACCCAGCTCCAGCTGGCCTGTTTAGGGAACCTGTTCGCTTAGGGTCCTTGGAGAGGAAAACTGGTTAAGGCTGGGCGAGAGTTCACCCCAGGTTGCCTTAAAAAATGTCCTGGCAACCGGCTTCAAAAATCAGCCATTTGGAAACTATATGGCTTGCTGGTTTTGATAGACTGGAGGAACCCCTAAGATTACGGCCATTAGTCATCCTTGAGGCTTGGAGCTGAAATGACCGGTGACTCAGGCCTGTAAGGTGTTCAGTAACACGAGGGATCACCACACTCCTTACAACAGTCAACCAACCACTGTTGTCACAGCTTTCTCCTGTGGAGAAGATGAAGTCTTTGAACTGCTGCCTGGGTTCTTAAAAACCACTGTGCCACCAAGGCTCCTCATAGGAGAAAATGGTTGGAGCTGGGAAGCACAGGGAGGAAGTGGGAAGAGTGCTTTTATAATGTGGAGATTGTAACTCATGATACATAATGTGTATGAATTGTTAAATGGAAAACCAGTTCTATATTTGAATGTTCACTCAAATCACAATAAAATGTGGTTTAAAAAAAACCCAACACACCCTCAAATCCTATGGGGTAAAAAAAAAAAATAAAATCCTATGAGGTACAATTCTGTTGGCACATGTGAGGTCAGCATGAGTCACATCTTTAGGGCAATTGGTGGTGGTGGTCATGGCTCATGTAACTGAAAAGTCCAGAAAGAATAAAAATTTAAGGAACTGAATAAAAGGCCAAAGGATGCCAGAACCTGTCTTTGACCATCTCTGGGTACTGCTTTTTCCACAGACTGGCTTCACTTGCAGGCACACTCTTAGTTGCAAGATGACTTTCCATAGTTTCTAGTTAAGTACTCTAGCGGAAAGAATAGGGAGATCTGATGGCCTAATGGCAAGAAGCTGTGCTGCAATCCCGAAGGCATGGGGTTTGAGGCCAGTGCTGCTCTACTTCTGAAAATCCGGTGGGTTTTGACTCGACCATACACACAACAGTGGAAAGAGTGTAATTCTTTGGAATTTGCAGAACCGATTATAGCTGATTAGCGTGGATCATTCTGGAACACACAGCAAACTCAACAAAGAGTATCTCTTGTATTCTCATACAGATATTTGTAGCGGAGATGGAAATTAGGAAAAAACTCATTGAGGAAGGCCAACTTCTAGCCGAGCCATTCTTGGTTCCTGAGCTCTACCCCTGCTCTGACCAAGCTAATTTCAGCTCAAAGGTGGCGTAAGTCTTCATCATCAACATCATCATCTCTGTCCTGTGGTTTTCAACTCCTACCTTACACATGTTTCTCTGTAGTTGGCTGTTTGGGAGAGGCACAGTTGAAGACTACAGAAAGGCAAGAGATTAGTGATAACTACACTAAAGTGTCTATCCACTGCAGCTTTGAGAAAGTAATTGTTCTATATCCACATGGATCTGTCATCATATGGCAGCCAGTGTGGAGCAACTGATACATGGCGCGTATGACTAAGGAACTGAAGTGCTCCTTGTCATGATGATCATTTGAATAGTCGTGTGGCACTAGAAGCTGTTTTATTGGACTGAGCTGCTCAAAGCAGCTTTGTGATGTAAACAGATGAAGCTTTGGACAGGAGTAAGATTGTCATCTACATAGTTCACGTAGTGAGAAGAGGTCCAGGACCTAATTCTGGGGAAGAGTCAACATTTTTTAACAGGTATGAAATAGTAGGAAGTGCTGAAATGATGTCCTGGGTCAGTACATCCTTAAAGCAAGAATTTGTGTGCAACTGATTTTATTAAAGTGCTGCCTGGGAAAACCACTAAGGGAGCATGAAAGCAGAAGAGGGAAAGAGAAAGCCAAGCAAAGTGCGATTCCAAGCAGAGTTCAGGCTGACTCGGCATGTGAGTTCTGAGTACAAGTTGTGCTTCAGATTTGGAAGCTGGACTGTTCATACTCCCAGCATTGAATAAAAGCTATCCTTGAAAGATGTCTATTCCAAGGCAGCCCTCGTGTTGCAGCAGGTTACATGTCAAACTGCTAACCAAGAGGTCAGCAGTCTGAACCCACCAGTGACTCCACGGAAGATAATGCAGTTTCCTCTTCACATTGGGAGATGCTGGAGCCCAAGGTAAAAGTCACTGTCAGTCCATCTCCTTGAAGGTCACCTCTTTCACTGACCCTCTGCCTTTCCCAGCATGTCTTTTCCCAGGGACTGGCCCCTCCTGATGACATGTTCAAAGTATCAGAGATGAAGTTTTACCATCCTTGCCTCTAGGGAGGTTACATTTCCTCCAAGATAGATTGGTTTGGTCTTTTGGGAGTCCATTGGGTGTCAGGTATCAGTACTCCAACACAATTCAAAGGGATTGATATTTGTCACACTTCTTCACTGTCCAATATAAGATATATTGTCAGGTATACAGGAAGCACCTGAAAATACCACGGCTTGAATTGGATGCACCTTTGTCTTTAAACTGATATTCTCGCTCTTTAGCACTTTGAAGAGGTCTCTGACAGCATTTTTCCCAATGCAAGACACCTTTTGATTTTTTTTTTTTTTACCTTTTGATTTCTTGACTGGTTAACCATGGGTGTTGATTCTGGATCCAAGTAAAATGAAACTATTGTCTACCTCAGTTTTGTTTGGTTTTTTCCTATCATGATGTTGTTGCCTATGGGTCCAGTGGTGATTTCTGTTTTCTTGTTGAAATGTAGTCTATATTAAAGACTCTAGTCTTTTATTTTCTTCAGTAAATGCGTCACATTTAATTTTCTGCAAGGTTGTGTCATCTGCATAACGCAGGTCCCTAATTAAAGTCTTCCTTCAATCCTGACACCATGCTCTTCTTCATAAAGTACAACTTCTCAAATTATTTGCTCAGTATACAAAACTCTGGTGGTCTAGTGGATAAGGAGTTGCAATACCAAGCCAAGGACAGGCAGTTCATATACACCAGTTGTACCATGGCAAAGATGGGCAAGCTTCTCCACTTGACTGGAAGCCTCTGAAAACCTATTGGAGGGAGGGTCAAGAGTAAGTCAATCCCTATTCAACAGCAGTGAGTCACAAGTAATAGAAATCCCAATTCACACTAAACGTGAAAAGGAGTTTATTGGGTCTTAGAAGTAGAATGACTTCAGGTATGGCTGGAACCAGAGGTCACTCTCAACAAAATGACTGATTCATTTCAAGCTCCAGTGTGGCCCCATCTAGGTCACTTTTTTCCCCCCAAAAAAATCTGGCTTATTTACAAAGTTAATATTGTTTCTCACGCTAGGCTACTTCTTAAGTCTTTTACTTAGTAGCTTTTGAGTGACATTTCCAAAGTGTTTCTAATTGGGATGTCCCCAGTCATGTCTAAGGAACATTTGTGTCACAGCTGGGTTCAGAAGGGCATATGGAGCTAGAATGCTGTTGGCTGGGGACTAAAGGGGTACACCTTGGGGCAAGAAAGATGTTGGGGCAATGTAGCACAATGCTTGATACATTTAAAAAACTCGTTTGGACTCAAACTTCTCTAGCTTAAGGAAGTGGGGAGGGTGTTGCAGTTTGCATGGTTGTACCCAGAATCCACGGAATTGTCATTTTCAAAGGAGGTCAGGGGATCTGTTAGAGATAAGCACCTTCAGTTGATAAGAAAATCTTCTCCAGTGTGATTTGATTTACAGCCTCAAAAGCTGCTGGAGGGTTGGCTCCAACTCGAAGGCTATGACAGAGCTTATTCAAGTAGGGAGCTTTGGTGACGTAAGATGTAAGGACCTGCGATGCAAACCCCAAGGTGGCCCCTCTGATGGTTGGGTCCACCAGCAGCTCCTTGAGGAAAAGATGGGCATTCTCCAGTGTCAGAAAACCCACTGGAAAGTCAATTCTGACTCAAGGGCAGTGAGTAATTTCAGGTTAGATCCAGAAGAGGCCATGGAACTAGATATCATTGCTAATTTCAAACCAATTTTGGCTGAAATACCAGACAGACATTTGTGTTTTATTAACTATGCAAAGGCAGTTGACTGGTTCATATCAGCATTCCAGAACACTTAACAGTATTTATACTTAGACCAAGAAACAGTTGTCTGAACAAAACAAGAGGACACTGTATAATTTAAATTCAGGAAAGGCATGTGTCAGGATTGTATCCTTTCTCCATTCTATTTAAACTCAATGCTGAGTAAGTAACTTGAGAAGCTGGAGCGTAACAGGACGAGAAGCTGAAGACTGATGGACTAGAAGCGTACTCAACATCCCAAGAACTCCCAAAAGAACAATCTTAGTGTCAAGACTGGTAGAAGATTCATCAACACCGTACATTATGCTCATCACACAACCTTGCTTGTAGAAAGCAAAGGCCTGAAGCACTTACTGCAGAGGATCAAAGAATACAGCTTTCAATGTGGATTGTATCTCAACATCAAGAAACCAAAAATCCTTACCACTGGACCAACAGGCAACAATCATGATAGATGGAAAAAAATGAAGATTGAAGCTGTCAGCTTGGATCCACAATCAACACTCATGAAAGCAGCAATCAAATCTAAGTGTTGCATTGGCACAATCTGCTGTCGAGTATGGCTCCAAAGTGCCAAGGAGCAATGATGTCAGTTTAAAACATTTTCAATTGCTTCTTATGTAACTGCAAGGTGGACAATCAGTGAGAAAAACCAAAGAAGAATCAATGCCCTTAAGCTGTGGTGTTGGAGAAGAGGATTGAATATCCCATGGACTGCCAAAAGAACAAACAAATTTGTTTTGGAGGAAGAGCAATTGGGGTGTTTCGTAGAGGCAAGGATGGTGAAACACACGTTGGGCATATCAGTCCTTGGGAAAACACATTATGTTGAGAAAGGCAGAGGGGGAAAGAAAAAAGGGAAGCCTTTCAAGGAGACTGCTTGACACTGTGACTGCATCAATGTGCGTGAGCAAGGGGAGAGCGTGGTGAGGATGGTGCTGGATGGGCCGGTAGAATATGTAGTTCACAGGATCGCTGAGTTGTAACTGGCTGGATAGTAGCTGCTAACAACGACGATTTCTAGATGATGTGTGAAAGAAAGCTGTGAGGACAGATGTGAAAGCTAACACTTTATTACTGTTGCATACATTTATTCAGTCAACAGACATCTACTGGGCACTCACGACATACTCCACCACCTTAGGTACTAGAACACGTCCAGGGAAGATTCAGGCTGGTGCCTGTAAAATGAGAGGTGGGGAGGGAGGTGGCGGGATGGACACCAAGGAAATCTATCCCTGGACCACTAAAAGACTAGAATCTTTGACCTGGCTTCCTAACCTCGTGAGGTCACGCAGTCCAGGGAGAGAGGTGGGCGCTGAGATTGGCCTACAGGGAAATGCCAGGATCCCTTCTCCCATTCCAGTCCAGCTCAGGTCCTCGCAGGCCCCGAAGTCAGGGTCTTCCTGCAGGCAAGGATGGTGAGGTTGGTCTCAGGTTATCAGATGGGGGAAGCCCCTTTAGAAAAGGACATCATGCTTGTGAAAAGGTGAAGGGTCAACGAAGCACACTGGGGACGAGGATGGTGCAGGCGCAAACTGGGTTTCTTGTACAGAGATGTTGTCCACGGGATCGCTGACTCAGAACCGAAACAAGAGCCTAACTAAGCATTACTCCCATTCTGCAGACAGTAAGACAAAGGCTCGGCGAAGAGATGGGCTCTACTCGAGCACTCAGGGCTTGGTCCTACCTCTAGTGCGGCTCGGAGGCCGCCAGAACTGCGCGGCGGGTCGGAATCCAGTGAGTTCGAGACCTGTCTCTGACGGGCGCGGGCCACTGCGGGCCGGGGTCTCGGGCCCCCACCTTGGGCCCTCTGTCAACGTCCTTGAGTCGTGAGACGCCGCTGCATTATGGAGTGGGGCGCTCCACAGTGCAGCGTCCTCCCTGCGGCCACCCCGGAGACAACTAGGCAACTCCCCAGCCAGCCGGGCCCGCGCGCCCCGGGCAAACTCCCGTCCTCCCGCTAGTCCGACAGCACGACTTCTCCCGCCGTCCTCCGCGCCGCGTCCGGAAGTCCGCGGAGACAACCATGGAAACTAGCGGCTAGAGGCGCCCAGACTTGCCCTCTAGGCCCTCACTTCCGGCGGAAGTGACCTCCAGCCGTAAGTGCCCTTTCCCCGCTGCACGCGCGGGCTGCCGGTACGCGGGATCCGGGGCGCCTGCACCACCGCGATGGCGGCCACCACCCTACTGCGCGCGACACCTCGCTTCAGCGGTGAGGGGCCGGGGGCGGCTCGGGGACACTAAGCGCCCTGGGGATGGCTAGGCTCGAACCCGCGGCTTGACTCCTTGATTCTGTCGCTGCAGGTCTCAGCACCGGCCCAGCTGCACTACTGCAGGGTTTGTTGCGGCCGCCAAAAGCCCCGGCGCTGTCCGTTTTGTGCCGCGGCCTCGCCGTCGAAGCCAAGAAGACCTACGTGCGCGACAAGCCCCATGTGAACGTGGGCACCATCGGCCATGTGGACCACGGCAAGACCACGCTGACCGCGGCCATCACCAAGAGTGAGTGATCGTGGGGTGGGAGCACCCAGTAGTTCCCGATCTGCAGGCAGGACGTGGAGCCCACAAGTGGGGTCCTGAGCGGCTTCGGGTGTGTTTAGTGTGACCTCGACAGTAGAGTAGAAGATGCACATTTCTCATAAGCATGATGAACTTTGTGAGGCATGACGTGGGGAGACCTCGAGTGGCATCTCCTGGGAGAAACCCTCGTTCTGAACCTTTTCCTACCCTTTTTAATAGAGTTATAAGTTAGGGCTGCGGGGCTACAGGGGTTTCCAGGAGTGTTTTCCTCCCAGATGAGTTTAGGTGGGAGGGGCTCAGGGGTGTGGCCCAAAAACCCGGCCTCTAACCCTGCAGTTTTAGCTGGGTCTGTGTCTCTTAGTTCTAGCAGAGGGTGGTGGAGCCAAGTTTAAGAAGTACGAGGAGATTGACAATGCCCCGGAAGAGCGGGCACGCGGGATCACGATCAATGCGGCTCACGTGGAGTACAGCACGGCCGCCCGCCACTATGCGCACACCGACTGCCCCGGGCACGCGGACTATGTAAAGGTGAGAGAGTTGCCCAGGTCTGGGGTGGTTGTGGGAGTGGGTCAGAAAATGTGTTCTTTCAAACTAACAGGCTTCTGTACCAGTCGGATCCAATTCGACGGTACACAACAAGGAAAAAAAACTGCAGGGGAGCTCTTGCCTAATGGCAAGAAGCTGCACTGCAATCCCAGAGGCACACGGTTCAAATCCACCAGATGCTCTGCCGGGAAAGGAGGGACAATCTCCTCTTGTACCAGTCAGATCCTATTTGACGGTACACACACACACACACACACACAAATGAAAAAAATCCCAAAAAACTGGGGGAAGCTCTGATGGCCTAGTGGCAAGAAGCTGCACTGCAATCCAGAGGCGTACGGTTCGGATCCATCAGATTCTCTGCCGAGGAAGGAGGGACAATCTCCTCCTGTACCAGTCAGATCTGATTTGACGGTACACAGACACACACACACAAATAATTTAAAAAAAAACTGCAATGACAAAGTAAACAGTCTTGAGGGGAGGACATTAAGATACTGAGATGTAGAAATTGCAGTATATGTGGATTTGTGACCAAGATTACTGAATGGTGACTAGTTGAGAAGAAAAGTGAGCCTGAGCTCTCAGTTACACTTACCCTGATGGGATGAAGTGAGATGATTGAACTAAGTGTTTCCTCTCCTCTCCTAACCCAGAATATGATCACAGGCACAGCTCCCCTTGATGGCTGCATCTTGGTGGTGGCAGCCAATGATGGCCCCATGCCCCAGACCCGAGAGCACTTACTTCTGGCCAGACAGGTACTCAGAGCCCAGCGTGGAGGGAAGGGAATGGATTGAGGGGGTCAGGGTCCTCTTGATACCATCCCTGTATCTTTTCTCCATCTGCAGATTGGGGTGGAGCACATTGTTGTGTATGTGAACAAAGCAGATGCTGTCCAAGACTCTGAGATGGTCGAGCTTGTTGAATTGGAAATCCGGGAACTGCTCACTGAGTTTGGTTACAAAGGGGACGAGACTCCTGTTATCGTAGGCTCTGCCCTCTGTGCCCTTGAGGTGAGGGTGGGGATACAACGGGGCTGGATGGGCAGGCAGAGGTGTTCTTGGAGTCCAGGCAGTGGCACTTGGTAAGAGAAGAATGGAAATCTCAAGGGTCTTGTCATTTCTTCTCACAGCAACGTGACCCTGAGCTAGGCCTGAAGTCAGTGCAGAAGCTGCTGGATGCTGTGGACACTCACATCCCAGTGCCCACTCGGGACTTGGAGAAGCCTTTCCTTCTACCTGTAGAGTCTGTTTATTCGATCCCTGGTGAGGACTGGACCGTGCTCATTTGCATCATCTTAGAGCACTAGTCTAGCCCAGGGTTCCTGAATTCCTCTCCTGCCCTTTCCCAGGCCGAGGCACGGTAGTGACAGGTACGCTGGAGCGTGGCATCTTGAAGAAGGGAGAAGAGTGTGAGTTCCTGGGACACAGCAAGAACATTCGCACTGTGGTGACAGGTACAGGAAGCCTTGGGACCCAGGATGACCTTTTACCTTGCAGATGCCTTGTGCTTTCCCATGTCCCCAGTGCCCCCTACCTTACTCCTTCTCCTTTTCTCTGTCCCTTCCTAGGCATTGAGATGTTCCATAAGAGCCTGGACAGAGCAGAGGCAGGAGATAATCTTGGGGCCCTGGTACGAGGCTTGAAGAGGGAGGATCTGAGGCGAGGCTTGGTCATGGCCAAGCCAGGGTCTATCCAGCCCCACCAGAAGGTTGAGGCCCAGGTGAGGACTCCAAGCAGGGCGAAGCTAAGCTGTCTTCTGCACAGAAACAGTGTTCCCAGCCACGCTCACTCCCATTTCTCTTCTCCCCTCCAGGTTTACATCCTTAGCAAAGAGGAAGGTGGCCGCCATAAGCCTTTTGTATCCCACTTCATGCCTGTCATGTTCTCCTTGACTTGGGACATGGCCTGTCGTGTCATCTTACCCCCTGGGAAGGTATGTTGGTACAGAGAAGTATGAAGGAGTCTGAACAGCTCTACCTCATTCATAACATAGAGTTCCATAAATAGGTGACAGCTTGGGCAACTTTCATTTCCTTGGATCAGCCAGAGGCTGGCCAACACTCTAAGTGAATCAGTAAAGGAAAGATTCTAGACTGTAATTGCAAGTTCCCTACTTTCCTCATGAATGTACCCTGGGAACACTGTTCTTTTTATCTTTGTGGGTGCTGTTGAACCTGCCCAACACTTAGGACAAAGCTGGTCCTAGGCAGAATCCCCACCCTCAACTGTTCTACTGCGTGTCCACTATAGCTAGTGAAGGCACAATGAAGTTCCTGTCTCCCTCCAGGAGCTTGCCATGCCCGGAGAGGACCTGAAGCTCACCCTGGTTTTAAGACAGCCAATGATCTTGGAAAAGGGCCAGCGTTTCACCCTGCGAGACGGCAACCGGACCATTGGCACTGGCCTTGTCATTGACACACTAGCCTTAACTGAAGAGGATAAGAACATCAAGTGGAGTTGATCTTATGGACCTCTGATTTGCTTCAGGGCTCCCCTGGCCAGTGTCCCCTCATGATCTTGATGCCCCGAAGTCCAAGCTGCAGCCCTTGTGAACCCAGGAGAGTACAGCTTTGACTAACATTTCCCATGTTCAGAAGGATTAGCGTGCCAGCTGGGACAAGCCAATAAATGGTTCTGTGAATAGTAACTAGCCTGTGTCTTGTGTAGTTTGAGAAGGTGAAAGAGTATAAAAAGGGAATCAAAGTCAGGAGCTAGTGATGATGCAGCAGCACCTATTAACTGACCTAATGCTTGGGCCTCGAGTCCATTTCTGGTAGAAGCTAAGAGCTACGATGTGTTTTTTTAAATTGTCCTGTTGTGTGCAGTGACTTAGCCCCCCTAATCACTCCATGCATGGGAGGAAGATGGCATTGTCTTTATACTGTTCATAAAGGAACTCTCTGGGGCAATTTCTGTCCTGCAGGATGGCTATGAATTGACAGCAATGAGCTTATCATTGTTGTGGCAATTTGAGAAAAGAGGGAGAAGCACTGTGTGACAGTCCTGTAAAATGCTCCAGCAGGATGTCTGGACTAAGAGTGCAAACATTTTGGAAAGATTTTGACTATTGCCTGTAGCCTCGAGGGCTCAAATCAGGTACCAAACCCACCCCATTTCCTCTTACAGTAGTTACCAAGTTAATGTGCTGCTATGCGCCATTAAATACCACAGACAGTAACCAGCTCTGAACAGATAAGTACTGATGCCCTGTCTTGTCCTGTAAATCCTTTTTAAGCTCTCAAGGGTGGGGACCATCTTGAATCACCTTGAGGCTCAGCAGCACAGAGAGGTACCTGATAGCTATACAAATTCAGCAAGTTCTCAACAGTTCCTGCAGTGTCACTTGATTGCTCACTGCTGTAACTCACGCCACACACAAGGACGACAGGTTGTAGAGGGGTTTTTTTTCCTGAGCATTTACTGGTATTTAAATGAAAAAAGCTTACAAAATAATCAGGCAATCAAAAAACAACCCACACCTTACAACTTTATGATATGACCAACATTGGCCAGGATGTTGTTATGTTACAGGCACCCTCACCACCAATCAGATGTCTGTCTGCAAGATCAGGTCACAGGCACAGCACACTCAGGAGACAGCCCTGGGCGGGGGAGGAGGGTGGGGTGGGTGTAAGAAATGGGCCCTCCTGAGAGGGGGTGACCTTATCAATCAGTGTTGTTGTTGTTATGTGCCTTCGAGTCGCCTGCGACTCATAGGGACCCTATGTACAACAGCCCTAAACTCCGCTCTGTCCTGTGCCAATCGCCCTGTCTCTGACACTCCCATCCCAATTATCCCAGTCACTCAATCAATCCACCTCATAGAGGGCCTTCCTCTCCTGCGCCATCCCTCCACCCTCCCAAGCAAGATGTCCCTCTCCAAGGACCGGTCTCTCCTCACTACATGTCCAAAGTATGTTAGACAGAGCCTCAGAATCCTTGCCTCCAAGGAGCCACCCGGTTTGACTCTTTCCAGGACAAATCTGTTTGTTTTCCTAGCAGTCCATGGTATTCTCAATACTCTTCTCCAGCACCACAGCTCAAAGGCATCAATTCTCCTTCTATCCTCCTTGGTCATTGTCCAACTCTCTGATGCATAACAAGCGATTGCGAAGACCATGGCCTGTATCAGACGCACCTTAGTCTCCAGAGAGACACCATTGCTCTTCAGTACTTTGGAGAGTTCCCTAACAGCAGACTTTCCCATGGCAATGCGCCTTTTAATTTCCTGGCTGCTGGTGCCAAGACTGTTGACTGTGGAGCCAAGCAAACTAAAGCTGTGTAGTATCTCAATCTCTTCACCATCCATCCTGATGCTGCCAATTGGTCCAGTGGTGAGAATCTTTGTCTTCTTGACATTGAGCCTCAATCCATATTGTAGGCTGCAGTCCTTGATACTCTGCAGCAGGCGTGTCAAGGACTGCAGCCTACAATATGGATTGAGGCTCAATGTCAAGAAGAATACAGATTCCAAATCAAAACAGCAGGGACTAAGGGTTATCTCTTTGAAGTCTGGCTACTGACCAATGAATACAACAAATGAACCCAAGAGAACAGGAGGGAAAGATGGGCTGGTAATGGGCTCCATTTGAGAGCCCTTTTTCAGAGGGCCTTGTAATCCAGTTCACATATCTAGAGCAAAGGGAAACGAGGACACAATGAAGAAACACTGTTCAGAAACAGGGCAAGTTTGTTGAAACCTGTGTCTATGTACTATCTTGGTTTTACAATGGAATTTGGCTTGGATAAAAGTTCCCTTCTGTTTAGAAATGTGATAAATTTTAACAGATTTGCAATCCTTCCTTAAAACATTGATGACTCTGGTGGCCTAGTGGCAAGACGCTGCACTGCAATCCCAGAGGTACGTGGTTCAAATCCACCAGATTCTCTGCTGGAGAAGGAGGGGGCAATCTGCTCCTGTAGCAGTCAGATCTGATTTGACAGTACACGTAAATATAATGCAATTTTTTAAAAGTTTTTAAAAAACTCAACCAAACAAAAAAAACATTGATGATAATACCTATTACCCACTCACTGTACTTCACAGACGCCCTTCCATCATTATCCAACCCTAGTCTGTGTCCCCATCTTCCACCTAAGAGTTTCCTCTTACTAATCTAACTTGGCCTATTTTAGAGGATAGCCGCCCCACAGAGCCCTTTCCTCATTTTGTTGTCAAGAGTCCCTTCTCTTAGGCTTCCGCTTCCTCACTCTGGGATGTCTTTGCCCTTGCCATTTTGTTTGACCTGAAACACCTTGCTGTTCACTGAATACAGGGAGCTCTCGTGGCCTAAGGGTTAGAGTTGCACTACCAAAAGCAGATGGTTCTTATCTACCTTCTATCCCCCAGCAGAGAGGCAGGCAGTCTCCAGTGATTCAGTCTCTGAAAACCTGATGGAACAGTTGGGAGGTGGTTTCAACTTACTATCAGAGTTTCACCAATTAAAGTTGTATTTCATGGGGAACCCATGTATAACCCACCTCCTTAACAGCCTTCATGGTGAGACTCTTGCTTCACATGCAAATACAGCAAAGGCAGGTCAGTGGCAATACCATAATGCGACCTTTAACAAAACACCTGCCCCTAGAGCCCGTTTTTTCTATATCCAGCCTGCCTTCTCATAATAACCTCTAGTTTAGCTGCTATTCCTGTTCTTACATGCAGCCAACTAACTTCCTCACTACCTCTATAGCTCTCACCCACACTTGTGCTCTATTAATTCCATTCGGGAAGAAAAATATATTAACACTTGTCAATTCAGAGGAAGACCAATTCATAAAGTACTTTTTTTTTAAATTATTATTTTTTTTTTGTGTGTGTACCGTCAAATCAGATCTGACTGGTACAGGAGGAGATTGTTCCTCCTTCTCCAGCAGAGCATCTAGTGGATTTGAACCATGCACCTCTTGGATTGCAGTGCAGCTTCTTGCCACTAGGCCACCAGAGCTCGCCAAGTAAGTACTTTTTTTTTTAAATTATTTGTGTGTGCGTGTACCGTCAAATCAGATCTGACTGGTACAGGAGGAGATTGTCCCTCCTTCCCCGACAGAGCATCCGGTGGAGCCAAGTACTTTTTAAAATACGAGAAACTTCAAGACTTGAAAACGGACTTGGCCAACACAATTCATGGCTTCTCACAGCTACCTGGTTATCCAGACCCTCCAGTGTATAAGTCAGAGGATATGTAATGTCCATCTGTATTTTCTACCTTGAGTTTAGTGGATTCTATCCCACCTTTAGTGGATTTCTGGGGGGAGGGGTAGACACATACCTCTTGCAATCCTTGCACTGAAACCTTTCAGACATGTATTCCACTTAATGTTAGATGCCATCAAGTACGACGCATTGTGACCCTATTCAACAACAGACCTGAACCAATTCTTAACCTGTGCTGTCCATGTCATCTTCTAACACACCTGAGCCCACGGCTAGTCACAGTCAGTCCATCTGGTTGAGGGTCTTCACAGAATAGCACCTTCTAGCACTCTCAGTGTATGAGATGAAGCTTTGGCATCTTTGCCTCCAAGCACTCTGGTTCCACTGATACTTATTCAAAATCTGTTCTACCTCAGAATAATTTAAAAATTTTTACTGAGGGGAGCTCTGGTGGCCTAGTGGCAAGGAGCTGCAACTACAATCCTAGAGACGCACGGTTCGAATCTACCAGATGCTCTGCCGGGGAAGGAGGGACAATCTCCTCCTATACCAGTCAGATCTGATTTGACAGTACACTCACACAAAAATAATTAAAAATAAATAAAATTTTTTACTGAAAACACATGATCCACAAAAATTCAAAGCAAAAATGGTTTGGTCTTTAATACATTAACTATCTGAAATGCACTTCAAATAGCATAAAACATAAAACTCTAAATCATTATTCTAGACCGAAACAGGACATACAATTTTCATATGGAACCAGAAAATTAAAATAGAAGATTAATGCAACACTAATACCACATTAAAAACACTTCGGAGAAAATGAATTGCTCAACTCCACACACTGCGCTCACCCAAAGGTCTCTGGTGCCCAGCGCTCTAGAAGTGGACACCACCAGTCCTTGAAACTTGAAAAGACACAGCTCCAGCCCTTCCCTGTTCCCCCAAAACAAAAACGCAGGCAGTTACGTTAGTTTAAAATTTTATTTTTTTTATTTTTTTTTAAATATTTTTATGTAATAAAAAGTAAAAGTCCTTGTCCAACCATCCTTGTGGGGCATCTGTCTGTCTCTCACGCCGGTCACTCAAGTTAATGGGGAAGAAGAACAGGGGGCCCAAGTCTGAGGTTATAAATAATAGAAAATAAAAGATCTTCTGTCTCCAGCGGGGGATAGATGAGGATGGGAGGGCAGATGGGGTAGAAATGGGCAGAGTCAGAGCAGGAACACCCCCCCACTCCCGGTGGACCCTGACCCTATCCACTCTGAGGCCCCTCCCATTCAAGGTGCTTGGCAGGAATT